ATGACCTTATATGTTTAAAAATCCACTTAAAACCAAGCATTTTGGTGCCACATTTCACACCCAGCTGTAATACATTTATACAGTGTCGCTCTTCCAAAAATGGGACTAAAATTCCAATATTCAAATTGCCATAAAACTATAGATTGCCTTGACCGATTTTGATGAAACAAACACCATTATGTTTTAAATCACAAGCTCTATCAAACTAGCCTACTTGCGGAGCCCCCCTGTAAATTTGAAATTTTGGCTGCTATCCCTACCATTATGGAGCAACATAACATTGAGCCATTAAACACTTGAAAGCATGTTGCAACCACACTGTTACACTCATGGACACTTAAACAATCATGGAAATGGGGAAAACATGTATGACTACAGTATGTTGTTGAGTTTTGGGACACAAAGTAGTTTTTTTGGTATATCTCACCTTTAAAGATTGCTAGATGGACGAAACGTTCACAATTTATAGCAATATCCATTTGGAAACATGAACTAAAAGCAAAAACTCAGAGCATTCTTATTTTATGCACATTTGATAAAGTTGTGGGCAACATTCGTGTCCAACTCATGCGCAGTACATGATTGTGATTTGACGCCCAGGTAAGCTAAATTTTTGTGCTAAATATTGAACTTTAATCACATTTTAATGTAAATATATTTACAAAAGTTTAGTTGTGGTCAATGTTATTTTTTCTGCCAAAGCACACCATCCATATCTTTGGCTTTATTGACAGATGTGATACTGGCAAGGTATCACAGCTCCTCCCCCATGTGTTTGTACAGCTGGCCATGGGTAGAAGGTTTGGCATGGTTCTCCTGTCGGTAGGCTGCCAAATGTGATCATTTACTGTACTAGCTATTGGTTAATACTGTAATAATAGTATGTACAAGGACTGTGTGTCACTCTGTCTAATCCTATGGCCTTATCTAAGTGATTATTGAGTTCATAATATTGAAATTAACTAGTAAGTAATGTAGCTAATTACCATTCAATTTTATCAATGGCTGATGAACTTAATAATTCTGTAAAGACTAACGAAAACCCTTCTGGTACTCTTCCAATAGGAAGCCCGGTGATTGTGTTCACAGTTTCACCTCTCTTTTAGCCATTGTACATTTCATTTATTGTATAAAATTATATAGTTATAAACTCAACATTATTTTGTTCTGATTTAATAGAACTTTTCGTCTTCGTCAAACAGAGTTAAATCAACACCAATTGGAATGCATTTGATATGCATCCAAAATTTGCATCCATCACACATAATCCATCACACATAACCCAACCGGCTTTTGTCAGGATACTTGATGGCCCGGATCTTCGATCATACTCAACTTTACCAATTACACAATTATGAAGAGTTGTTCTTGTAACTTCCCATTTGGCAGCTGCCTCTCTAATACTCATACCGTGATCATGCACATCTACCATCGCTTGTTGAAACCTCACTGATTTTTGTGCAGACATGATGAAATTTCTGAGAAATTTTACACAAATTATGTTTCTCATAATTACATTTAGGATTGTTTGTACCGAGCATGTATAGTACTCAGTAGCTAAAAAAATAAATTCGGAGTATCTATTGTTTTGTATTTCAGTAGCTAAGATTGATAAATTTATAACATGATTTCAACATTTTGAAAACAACACTGCCTCGCTCCAGCGCTCTTTCCTAGCATCGTCACGCCATCATGATCTAGGGCGTGATAGCACATGCGCATTTGCGTTCCTAAAGAAAAAATGAGTTTTCCAGGGTTAAGATCCTTCACACAACATGAGAAGCAAATGTTATAAAATTTACAAAAAATTGCAATAATGACAACGATTCCTCGAAATTTTGTGGACTCGGCCAAAGAACAAAAGAATATTTAAATAAAACAACTGAAATTGCCTAAATAACTTCCGATCAAAGCACAATAAATCACTACAAACATAAATTGTATACACATAAAACCCCCCCCGGAAAGTTTACTCCATGACTGACTGACTGACTGATGTGAATTTCCCCACTCATCACAATAGTGCACAGTTTCAAAGAAACTCTGCACTAAAAACTAATCACTGTTCCGGGAATTGTTTCATTCATCCATTGTAAAAACTAATCACCGACTTTGTCAAACCTTTTCACACTTTTGTTTTCATTTGAAATGTTAAAGTGCCTATATCACTTGTGGGATCTTTACGGATTTGAAAAGAGCACAAGAAGTTATATAACAAGTTCTTCAACCTTTTTTGATTTAGTTCAATAGTTTCTTAGATATAGGCCCTCAAACATGGCAATTTTGACATTTTTGGAAAAAAATCTGTCTTACTAAATTTTACTTGGGGGCCTGGGACTCAGGAATGTGAGCGTAAACAAACACTATAGATTATACTATAATTTGCTGCTATAACTTACTAAAATGATAATTTTTGCAAGAAAAGTCGGTTTATTTAACTCAAAATTGTGTGTATTTTAGATTCAATACTAATAGCTTAACTATTGAAAAACACTATAAAATTTGATATAGACAAGGGATAACTGGTTTGATTTGGCCATTCACAAAATATGCAGGATGATTTCTGTTTGCCTCAATTGCTTTTGATCTAATCATTTGAAAACCTGTGTTGCACAAACATGTGGTATACTGGTATAAGCTGATTCAAAGGAGAATTAATTTTGAGGTCTTAACTTAATATTTTTATAAACTTTGGACATATTCAGTTTAATAGGGCCATGCAAAGTTTCTGTTTATTATAGGAATAGGTTAATGCACCTTGCTAATGTCAAGGCAAAGCTTGAGTTGCACAGGTGAGTAAGTTGTATAACAGATCACTGAGTAAGCTGTATAACAGATCACTGGTTTGCCTCATGGAGGCAAGTAATACATTATTAAAGTCTAAGGTATAATTATATCTCTACTTTTATTTATTTATTTATTTATCAGCTTTATTGGACAAATATAGTAGAAACATTTACAAGTTTAAGTCCAAAGGGGATAGCGCAAACGGGACAACGAGACCCATGCTAGGCGCACCCCCTCCAAAAAAAGGGAAAAAAAACCCCAACCTAATTCACTATATACAAATATATATTACACAACATGCATATTAAGAACGGTGGCAGGGACAGTCTCTTGTGAGCGACCAAGTGCATGCCATATCAACATGAAAAGTACTGTTGACCAATGCGGTGTATGTCACATGCAGAAAGCTTTTAAAAATTGTTAAACTGGCGAACTTTTCAGGAGAGGCTATTTTTCCAACATTATTCCAAGTTTTAACTATTCGGTTAAAGAACGATCCTTGGAAAGTGGATGTTCTACAGTAAGGAGATTTTAACATTAGAGATGGATTCTGAGTACGAGTTCGATTATGATGTATAAATGACACAAAATGTTCAATGTTCAAATCAGTGTGGCCGAAAATACATTTATAGACCAGAACAAGATCTCTGATTTCTCGATCGTAAGTTAGTGGCAATAAATTGAGAGTTTTCAGTCTATCTTCATAAGACATTTCTCCAACTTTACTTTTGAGGATCCAACGTGTAGCGCGCCTTTGAACTCTTTCTAATGCAACTTGTAGCTTCACATTAGCTGGGGACCACACCTCCGTTGCGTAGCACAGCTTTGATTTTACCAAAGTCAGGTATAGTGTTCGCCTAACTTTAGTATCTCTAATCAGGGGACAAGTTCTCTTTAAGATACCAAGCATCTTGTTGGCTTTACTGACGATTGAGAAAATGTGAGAATCCCAGGATAAGTTGCTTTTTAGGTCTTTATATGTCTTATATCAGTTGGCATACATGTGATTCATAAGACTCTCATGGTTGTAAAAAAGATGAAATAATACCATTGTGTTCTGTTTATCAAACTATCTGCAGTTTTTAATGGGAAAGATGATGACTTCAAAGGATATGAATATTTGGAAGATGAGAAATAAGAAATATAATTTTAAAGCACGACTAACCACAAATATGATTTTTGGTGTGTGCAATATCTGTGTCATTCGTTCAAAGAAATGTTATCTCTATAATAAAAAATCCCTTCTTTATTGACCTTTTCACTGTCAAAGTTTCCGGATATGATGTCATTAGGTGAGATGCATTACATTTCTTCTTAGAATTATGACCCAAATATCACACAAACCAAAAATTCTATTTGGGGTTAGTCCAACTTTAATTAATGCATGCTAGATTTTTTTGTCATTAACTTGCATTTAATAAATTTACAGTACACATAGTGCACAAATAATATCTAAAAAAATCAACAGACAAAGGAGTCAAAGTCATGAAAAAAAGAAATTCATGCTACTGTGTACAGGGAAATGTTGATTTAAAAACTACTTGATCAACAAGAACAGCTTAGGAAGACAGGTTATACAGAATTGAATAATAGTTGAAGGGTCCTGTATAGATGGAAATTATCGAGTAGAAATTTATATGCATTTATTATGCCTAACCAGGAAAAGTTGTGAAAAATCAAAGTGCAACCGCTGATCCCTGGCAGAAATCCAACCTGCTGCCCTGCAATTCCGGTGCAGCGCTAGCTGTAACCAATATATACAGGGGTGGAGAAAATAGGTGAGCGCTACTCACAGTAAATGTTAAACAGCTGCAGGAAATTTGTTTGAATGAAGATTTGCTGTTGATTAACATTTGAAGGAAGCCTTAACACCCATGTCCCACTATGGGTGCAACAACATATGGTTGACAGACATTATTCCTTGAATTTAAAACCATGGTCAGCTAGAACACTATATGTTTATGCACATGTAGATTTAGCACAAAAATACTCTAATACTAATACTAATAAAGGAAATTTTTGTCTCCAGGTTGTGCTCCCAGGAAGAAAATTCTTTTCTCCTGCCCTGAATATATATATATATATATATAGAGTGAGTGAGTGAGTGAGTCAGTGAGTATAATTCTTTAATGCCTCCATATTTGAAGATACGAATATTTACAATTATAAATAAATAATTAAAATTAATTTAAAAAAGACAAACAACACACAAACTAATGAATAGTTTCTGAATCCAAATAAATGTCAATGTAACTGGTTATTGTTATTATCTGTGAAATCGACTCAGCAATGATAATATGTACTTGGTTATTATCATGTCCCTGCATGAATTGCATGTTTCCAAAGATTGTCTGCATCAAATTGTCCTCATCTAACGAGTTAATGTTTGCTACGAATTCCACTGGAAAGAAATCTGTGATACGTTCCCATAATTTTGTTCTTGCTAATTGTGTTTCACAACAATGCAACATAGCATGTTTTACAGGATTTGTGTAGTAGTTACCACAAAACATACATAAAAATTGTGTTTTTTCCCCAGTAAATCTCACACCATTCACATAGAATGACCCACAAAGAATTTTAACAATAATTGCCACTTGGTTGGCCATCTTGCTGTTTTCGAGAGCAAACTGCAGCCACATGTTACGCATTGGTTCTTTTACGACTTGGCCGTATAAGCCTAATTGTTTATAACGTTGCGTTTTGATCTTCCAAAACTCAATCTCCGTATGATTAATATTCTCAATTACTGTTTTCTTCCATTAAGATTTGCTGGGAAAATTTCCAGACTGCAGAAAATTGTCCATATACTCCCACAAGCAATACTTCTGTAAGATTCTAACCAAATCTGGTACAAAACCAGTGATTTTGTTCGGATTCCATCTCCATCTATTAAGTTGTATCATGAATACCCTGCGATGTACACAGTCCTCACTTGCACATATTAGTCGTCTGAGAAACAGAAGCTTCCGTTTGTCTATTTCTGCTCAGTCCTTTCGTTTGTCTATTTCTGCTGCTAAGTCCATGTGCAGCTGAACCCGAGGTACCACTAAGTAAACCCAGACATACTCTTAAAAATATATTCTGTACCTTTTCCAATTTTGATAGTTTTTCTCGATTAAGTGTCCACAACTCAGCACCATACAACATTTTCGGCAGAGCAATCCGTGCCCACAGCTTAGTCGCCACCAATGGACTCATCCTGTTAAATCTACATCCCAGATTTGCTAAACCAATACCGATAGCCTGACCTTTCTTCGCAGCCTCTAGTATTGGAATAAGGCTGGAAACGTCGGTGTGCCAATCTTTTCCAAGATTATGCCAAATACTTTTCTCCATGATTTCTTTACCTCCTATAAGCCACCTTCTGTTCGTAATTGCCTATATGTTATCTCGTTTTTTGCCAAAGGTCAGCACAACAGTTTTTTCTCTTTAAAAGTAAGTCTCCATTTTAGGCTATAGTTATGAACTTGTACAAGCATGTTATCAAGACCTCGTTTTAATCTTGACATTAACGTAAGATCGTCAGCAAACATTGGTGATCCAACAAATAAATTTTTAATAACTATTACCAGTGGATAGCTTTTCCAGCTCGTTTATCATGTCATCAATGAAGAGAAGAAATAGCCATGGCGATAATACCCCACCTTGTCGAACCCCCTGTAAGATATTATACTGTCTGGAACATTTACCATTATAAAAGACATATTCCTCCATGTCTGAGTACCAACCTTTTATTAGCCTCCAGCACTTTCCTCTAATATTTACGTTGTGATATAATTTAAACAACATACCATTTATCCATACTTTATCAAATGCCTTTGAGACATCAACAAAGCAGGCAAATACTTTATCGTTTTCCTCGCAACAATGCTTAGTTGACTCGTCAATAACAAATGAAGTCGTCACGGCGTCATGCTCAGCTTGGTAGGCCCCTTGAAGCGGGTGGGGTCGACATCTTATTTTATTTTGAAGCCTGTTGAGCACAAAACGTTCGGAAATTTTGTTAAAAGTACAAAGAAGAGTAATTCCTCTGTGATCATCGAATTTTGACGCACAGCTCTTCCCTCCCTTTGGAATTGGAATCTTAATTCCTAACTTAAATTGTCTTGGAATGTACTCCAATTCAATGATCTTATTATAAAGTATTAGCAGCTTGGCAGCCAGAATGTCCCCAGACTACTTAATATGTTCATACGTTATGCCATCATCACCAGGAGCTTTATTATTTGGTAATACTGTTAGCACATCCTCGATCTCTTTTAAAGTTATGGGATCCTGAAAGATATCATCAAATTCAGCTAAGGAGTTTTTTGTTATGTCACTAACCTCGATATCGATATACTCAGTGAAGTCATCATCAAAATTTGTATTTTCCTCAGTCGCCAACTTTAACACACTTTACAATTCTTTCGATGTTCCTACTCGCAAAAATGTAATCAACAACACTGTTACCACAACTTGAGTAATACGTGAACAGCGGACCCATACAGGGCATATCCACGTTAACTGGAAACATGTCAAATTCAGCAAACATTTCAAGGAGTAGTTTTCCTCTATTATTTTCCTGTTGACCTGAACGTGGATCCGATACATGTACGTTAAAATCGCCTGCAATAATGATTTGCTCTTCTCTATAACTTAATTGAGTGCACACTGCATTAAGGCAAGTTAGAGTGTCAATAAAATCAGCCAAGTTACTGTTCGTTGATGGAAAATAGGTGCTAAAGAAAACATAATTCTGATTATTCATTTGAAATTTAATTGCCATGATCCTATCATTTCCGAGTAATAATTGTTGTGCCTTGAGGTGTTTTTTCCAAACAATCGCGATGCCCCCCTGACCTCGCTTCCATCTTGTGTTCATATTGCTTTGTTCGCTTTTCTTTGCATAATACAAAAAATCGTTATGTAAATTGTCTAATATAGTAAGCTCATCGGCGTATAACCAATGTTCTGAGATGGCTAAAACATCAACACTTTCAAGTAACTTTTGCATATAAACGAAGTTCGATTTGATGCCTCCGCAGTTCCAACATGCAATGTTTATGAAGGCGGTTCTCTGGATGGATCTCTTCTGTCAGATTTCACTGACCGTTTTTCCCATTTATCTTTGGAGAGCCATTCCCTTGCGTATACATTTTTCGGCCAAAAATTTGGTTCAAGAATCTCCTTAATATCTGAAGCTCTGACATTTATACGCACAGCAACGGTGCCACTTCGCCGACTTTTCATCATTCGTACGAAAGTCGGCTGAACGCCTTTTCCCTGCATAAATTCTTTTATAGTGCTCGTGTGGACCCCGTCTTTAACACCACCTAGATACAATCGTTTTGTGTTGCGCCGTTCCACGCCAATAAACTCCTTTGAATCAGCTAAACTCGCTTCATTTTTATTTTCACTTGTTTTTGAACTTCTAATTATTTCACTTTGTTTTGAACAATCAGTATTATTCGACGGCGGTCCCGGGTCATTTGCGCTCTCGCAATACAATATCTTGTGCGAGCTTCTCTGATGCCGATGTTCCCCTAGTTCTAGTAATTCTCCTCTGAAGTTCGCCTTTTGGACAGCAACTCCACTTAGAACGGACCAGTTGCAATAGTCTATCCCTTAAGCCAGCTAAATCATGGGTATCTCGTGCGATTAGCTGTCGTACAACAATCTCGCTCGATGTACTTTGCAGACGCCTTCCCAAATCATCAATAAATCCGGTCAAATTTTTGCCAGAATCACAATTATTATTACAGTCTGTTTGTATTTGAGAGTTTGTATCAACAATTGTTGATAAAGCCTCGGCTAAATTAGCCGATTGAGAGTTTCTTCGCATGGCAGGTGAAGAGCCTTGAATAATAGCTCCGTCCGTCATGACGCCATTAGTTAGTCGTGGCTGAGTGAGAGTGTGAGAGTGAGAGATTTGAATTCGCAAATTGTTCAGTGCATAGCACTGCTTTACAAGAAAGCCAAATATATATACAATATTTGTGGTGTTACTCTGAGTGTATATCCACACTGGGCAAACTTGAAAAATATGCCCGGCCACGGTGGGATGCCGGGCATATTTTTCAAGTTCGCCCGGTGTGGATATACACTCAGAGTAACACCACAAATATCATATTCACCTGAGTACACTACACCAACACAGAAAAAATTCATATATACAATATTAGCTAGAAGCTGATGATGTGATTATTGCTCCTTTTTTAAACTGACTCAAACTGTTGCTGCATTTTACATCTTCAGGTAAAGTATTCCACAATTTTACCCCTGAAAATACAAAGCTCTTCTTTAAATATTCAGTTTGAGGCTTTGGTAGTACAAGGCATAATTTTCTATTTCTTAATGTATTAAAATGATCTATGGCAGACATTTCAAAATGGTCTCTTAAATACTTTCATGCCAAATTGTTTAATATCTTATACATCATATTTAATTTGTGTGTGTCTCGCATTTCTGCAAGAGTTTTCCAGTTTAGTGTTTTCCTTATTTCATTGGATCTGACATCATAACCACAGAATAAGGACCTATACAGAAGTCCCACTCTCGTGTGCGACATGGCACCTTTTTTCCACTGCGCATGCGTTAGGTCCGCCATCTTCCTAGCAAGTAAAACCGCAGCAAGCTAATAGTAAATTGTATGGCAAAACACCGAGTCGATGCAAGAAAACTTCAATAAAACGCTCAAATTTCATCGAATCGCCATAAAAATTATAGGGGATGAAAGAACACACATTTCTAAATGATAATAAGGTGTAATGGATGAAATTCCACGCATTTATACTGGATAAAACGGGCGTGAGTGTCGGAACAATAATCGATTCAATTATATGAATTTCAAGCGTTTTCGAATCAGGTAAGTTTTATAACTGTCTTTGACAATTTTATGCATGGGAATGTTCATTTAATGTTTGAACCATTACACTAGATCTAACAGCTTAGTATTTAGTCACGAGAAAAGTCTTTGTAAGTTAATTTCTCTGCAATTTGCAATGACATGTTTAATACATTAAATATATGACTGATCACTGATGGCACTGAAGACAATGCCTGAGTTCTAGAGCTTTATTAAGTAAACTCTATTCTTGTATTTAAAATTGCAGCAGGCAACCAAACACTATTGTCGATGTGTCTTGTATATTGAATATTGAATTGAATATTGAATATTTTTTTTATTTGCCCATATAAAGCTAAATATATTTACAATCTATATTTTTACAAACATTAGGGGCTAGGAACCTTTATGAAACCCTATCAGGCTTTTATTCAAAGGCCCCTAGTTTAACAATATTAATTATTATATAAAAATAGTTAAAGCTTGTTCAATCTTGTCAAAGACAAAGTAAGAGTATTTACAAATATAGTGATTTGAATATAAATATACACAAGAGTTTATTATGTGAGATTACAAATGAAAGCTGTTAGGTATATTCCAAGAAAAGGCTTTTCAACTTTTTCTTAAAAGTAGAATAAAACATAGTATTGCTAGTTCCTTTATCAAGAGAGTTCCATATTTTAACTCCCTTGTTAACAATAGTATGTTTTGCATAATTAGTTCTACTATAATTGACATGCAATTTGTTAGAATTCCGAGTATTGTAATGATGCACTTCATTGTTTTGTATGAAGTAGTCATTAACAAATTCAGGTAGATTTTGTAAATGTTTAAAACGGTACATAAATAAACAACTTAAATAGTCATTAATCTTAAAGATATTCAAGATTTTCAATTTTTGAAACAATGGTTCAGTGTGTTCAAGATAGGATTTAAAGTTCATCAATCTGATAATTTTTTTCTGTAAATTCAGTATTTTTAGCAGCCTTGTTGGGTACGTGTTACCCCATATTAAATTCCCATAAGTAAGATATGGATAAACTAATGCATAATAAAGTACATTTAATGTATTTTTGTTTGTATAATGTCGTATTTTTGCAATCAACGCCGATGCTTTAATAATATTTTTGACAACTGAGTTTATATGGTTTTTCCATGTTAGTTCTTGATCTATTATTACACCTAGAAATTTGA